TTGCAGTCAACATGATGCAACCGTTTAATGTCTGAGATAAAATCTAGGATTAAAATCATCCCATATGGCATACAAGAACACCGATTAAATGCATTTCTCGCTTTAATACAGACTGAGATATGTTTCTTCTGTTTTGTTTTGTAAGGTGTCCTTGGGTGTTTTGAAAGGCGCCATCAAATAAAATTTATTATTATTGTTTTTATTTATTTCTTTTTAAAATTTCTTTTAGTAGCCTAGTCTACATTAATAAAAAAAACAAAAAAAACTGCTCAGCATTTGATTACCAATTCATTATTTAATTACGACATTACGTATATAGCCTACTTATGCTATAAGTTTATATTAAGTTGTTCAAAAGTATGTTCACATGTCATAGGCCTACAGTAGGCCTATCTATTTTCAAAGCTGGACACTGTAAACGTGTTGTTTCAACTTCAAAAATTAAGTGCTGCCTTAATAATTTAAGTTGAAATGTAGGCCTAATGTTAGTTATTAACTGAAAACTTGAATATTTGTGTTATCTCAAGTTTAATTCAGAAAAGTTAGCCTATTCAAATTTTTAAATTGTGGTAACTAATTGCAACAGTCAGATTTTACATGGTTAAACTATTTTTTTGATGGTGTAACAGGGACAACAAATAATATGACTGTACACACGTCATTACAGCCACGGAGAAAACACCAAAATAAAAGTCCGCTCACCAGTGCTTAGAAACTGGACATGCAAACGGGACAGGAAAAAAAGAAAGTAGGCCTACACCATGCAAAACACCGACCTTATATTGCAGTCAACATGATGCAACCGTTTAATGTCTGAGATAAAATCTAGGATTAAAATCATCCCATATGGCATACAAGAACACCGATTAAATGCATTTCTCGCTTTAATACAGACTGAGATATGTTTCTTCTGTTTTGTTTTGTAAGGTGTCCTTGGGTGTTTTGAAAGGCCCCATCAAATAAAATTTATTATTATTGTTTTTATTTATTTCTTTTTAAAATTTATTTTAGTAGCCTAGCCTACATTAATAAAAAAAAACAAAAAAAACTGCTCAGCATTTGATTACCAATTCATTATTTAATTACGACATTACGTATATAGCCTACTTATGCTATAAGTTTATATTAAGTTGTTCAAAAGTATGTTCACATGTCATAGGCCTACAGTAGGCCTATCTATTTTCAAAGCTGGACACTGTAAACGTGTTGTTTCAACTTCAAAAATTAAGTGCTGCCTTAATAATTTAAGTTGAAATGTAGGCCTAATGTTAGTTATTAACTGAAAACTTGAATATTTGTGTTATCTCAAGTTTAATTCAGAAAAGTTAGCCTATTCAAATTTTTAAATTGTGGTAACTAATTGCAACAGTCAGATTTTACATGGTTAAACTATTTTTTTGTACAAAATTTGTTCCTTTCCATTAGGCTAATGATTTAAATGGCAGAGAGGCACTTTTGGCAAATTGGGACATTCCATGAAAACTTAGACTTATGCTCTCCTATACTCACATCATAACCTCTCCCTTCTAAGTATGACCTGAACCATTTGATTACCATCCCAGAAAGCCCGACCCAGTTTTCCAGTCTCTCTAGTAGTATGTTATGATCAACAATGTCAAACGCAGCACTGAGATCTAGTAGTACCAGCACTGATATTTTGCCAGATTGAGAATTTAAGCGAATATCATTTATTATCTTAATGAGCGCAGTTGATTGAAAATTGTCCAGGTATCCATTTGAGTTTAAGTATTTGTTCAGCTGATTAAAGACTACCTTTTCAATAATCTTTCCTATAAAAGGAAGATTTGATATTGGTCTATAGTTGCTCAATATGGTGTTATCAAGATTGCTCTTTTTCAGAAGGGGTTTAACAACTGCAGTTTTCAGGGAGTTTGGAAACGTCCCAGAAAGAAATGAGGCGTTCACCACTTCTAAGAGATTTGTTTCCAAACAGTTAAGCACCCTTTTGAAAAAATATGTGGGAAGTGTGTCATGCTTGCATTGATAGACATCTTTAAATAGAGCAGCTACACCTCCAATTCTCCTAACAGTCCTGCAGACACTCATGAAAGTAAAGTTAGGAGAGGCTGATTCATTGAGGACTGTTGCACTGCAGCTGTCTTCTAGCCATGTTTCATTTAGAAACATAAAATCCAGGTTGTTTGTGGTTATTACGGTAAGTCATTGATTAGAAATGATTTATTTTTTAGTGAGCGAATGTTTAAGAATGCTAACTTGATGGCATTGCATTTTGTCTCAACAGCAATATTAGTTTGATGCATAACAGGCCGCAGATTAGATAAGTCAGCCGTACGGCGTACGGCTTGAGAAGGCCTTAGACTTTCTATCACGTGATAAAACAGAAATAGAGAAAACTACAGGCACACTGGGTTCCCGCTTGTTCTGTAAACATTTGTGAATGTTGCTGCTATTATAGAGGGAACCCGACACATATCACTGAAAGCTGCTATTAGTTGTTTTTGGTTCACCTACAGCAGATGGAGGGTTTGGGCCCTGGTGTTGTGGCAGCGGCCGGAGAGCTCTCACAGGAGGAGGACGACGAACTGGGCCCACAGGCTTTGAGGGTTGTGGGACCCGTCGTTTTTTAGTTGATATCTGGGGGCTTGCAGCAAAAGAATGGGAGAGTCTATAATCCAGTTCCTCCATTTTCTGTGAGAAGCTTAGAAGTGGAGATGCTGGAGAGAGGGATAATGTGTCTGGTGAGTGGGGCTGTGGCTCTGGTGTTTCCGGTGACGAATATCATTCTTCTCCACATGGATGATGATTCGATTTGCAGTCTTGTGCTTCATTAGAATTTTCCCAAGTTCCTTGTTCAAATCAGAAACTGTTGCTTGAGGAAAGCAGAAAGTTGCTGAATTTCTGCTACTGATGTTTCTGATAATGGAGTTGTCCACTATCAGAGTCCTGGGCTCGGCTGCGCTCTGAACTGAAAGCCGCTGTCTGCTCGACCTTGAGCGTCTGTTAGTAGCGATGTTAGCTGCTGGCTGATTCGATCCATATTTAATCACATTTGGGGATTCCTCACCCGCATTCATTAATGCTTCAAATCTGTTCTCAAGATGTATAGGGGGTGGTAGAATACCAGCATTCACAAGCCTTGTCATAGCCGTATCTGGGGTAGAGGATGCTACGGCAGCAATACGTGAAAATCGTGACAATCTGATGTCTCTACTGCCTTTAGGTCTTGCTCCCTGTTTGTGCCATCGATTAGTGTGACAATCAGTTTCGGCTTGTTTCTCTACACTTGGTATAAACTGTTGAGATTGTCTAGGTTCATGGGACTCACCGGCTGTATGCTGATGGGGTCCGTGACGACGGTCTGCTGAGTGTTCTGCCTGTTTTGGAAGTCCAGCAAGTAACTTTGTTTCAAGAACCGCAATCCTTTGTAGAAGTTTGCAGTAGTTCACGCAGCAAGTAGATTCAACAGGAGGCATTTTCTTTCTCTTCTGTTTGAATGTGGGCAGCTGTGTTTCCCCTTCTCCGGAATGTAAGCTGCTGGCAGTGGGAGGCAAAAGTCTTCTTTTTCGTGGTATTATTCCAGTCCCAGAGAGTTTTTAGGTTTTTGTGCCAAAAATAAGTTGTTTGAGCACTGTGCTGATCTGCTGAAGTAAAAATCAAAGAAAAGTACAGAAATAGGGAGCAAAGCGCAGAGCAGTAAGCAAGAACGTCCGAACGGTAGCGAAGCCGGAAGCCGGAAGCCGGAAGCCGGAAAATGATATGTCTATAAGAAAATTTGATTAATTATTATCCCATATAAAATCACAATCGCAAATTACCCTCACATTTCACTCTTTTAACATGCTTTGCCTCAGAAGGTATTGTCATTTTTCATTTACACCTGTTTGTGCAAATGTATGAAATTAAAGGTTGTTTTAAAGATAAGAAATAATGATAAAGATGATTAAGCTTAAGTTTCCCCCTCAACCAGTTGTCCCATTTTGTGACGCTGGACCACAAAACCAGTCATAAGTAGCTCGGGTATATTTGCAGCAATAGCCAACAATACATTATGGGTCAAAATGATCGATTTTTCTTTTATGCCAAAAATCAGGATATTAAGTAAAGATCATGTACCATGAAGATATTTAGTAAATTTCCTACCGTAAATGTATCAAAACTTAATTTTTGATTAGTAATATGCATTGCTAAGAACTTCGTTTGGACAACTTTAAAGGCGATTTTCTCAATATTTAGATTTGTTTTTGCACCCTCAGATTTCAGATTTTCAAATAGTTGTAGGCTATCTCAGCCAAATATTATCATATCCTAACAAACCATGGTCTACATCAATGGGAAGCTTGTTTATTTAGCTTTCATATGATGTATAAATCTCAATTTAAAAAAATTGACCCTTATGACTGGTTTTGTGGTGCAGGGTCACATTTCTACGTGAAGTTAGTCATTAACAGCAAGTCTGTGTTTTTATGTGTGCATTATTATAGGCTATATTTTAGCCACTCATCTGCTGCGTGCTGAATTTTAATCTCATCCGCGAGTCAGGCTCGGTGAATCTGCGCGTCATCAGCGCGCTGTGATTGGAGAGCGAAAATGGGATGCTGTGCGCGCGTGCAGCGAGCCCCCATTCTCAAATGAGAGTGCGCGCGGCGCGGCCGTCTCGAGGAGGCGTGCGCGCGCTCGAGGGGCTGCGGTCCCATTGACTATTCCGTCTCCCTGACAGCGGCAGCATCAGCAGCAGCACCGCGAGCTCAGAAAACAGAGCGCCGCGCGGACTCCGCCTTTGCTCCCATCATCCCACCCGAGAGCCCGAGCTCCGAGGCGGCTTCAGCAGCAAGCGCAAGACCCCCCTCGTCGACTCGCACTTATTCTCCGGATTAGATATGGACTACCCTTAACTGGACCTGGAGGGGAGAGGCAGGCGGGCGGGCGGGGGGTGGGGGGGAGAGAGACAGGATAAAAAGCCGTATAGGAAGAGAAGCACAACCGTGGGTGCCCGCCGCAGCGATGAACGGGGGGAGGGGGGCGGGTGGGCGGGGGGTGGGGGGGAGAGAGACAGGAGAAAAAGCCGTATAGGAAGAGAAGCACAACCGTGGGTGCCCGCCGCAACAATGAACGGTTCGCCACGCTCATGTCAACCGCAGATAAGCCATCGGACTATGTCCTGAATAGCGGTTTACATAGCTGGGATTGTGCACCGATCATACAGGGGTAAAATATGTCCGCCTCGGTGGGGCCCCGCGACAGCCCTCGCCCACCCACAGCGCAGAGCTCCATAACCGAGCTACCGGACCTCAGTCACCTCACCGAGGAGGAGAGGAAAATTATCATGGCTGTGATGGTTCGGCAGAGGGAGGAAGAGGCAAAGGATGAGGCCATGCTCAAGTAAGAAATCACGCTTCCTAGGGAGCTTGCCTGTAGTATTTGCGCTGCTTCTGGAGACCAAAAGGCAAACAGATTGTGATGGTTTCTGTAGGTGCATCTGTTTGCAATAGCCTACTAATAAAGCCATCAGGCTGTACGCCTGCACCTAAGCTCCTGTGTGTGTGTGTGTGTGTGTGTGTGTGGATGGGTGGGTGGGTGAGTCCATGTATGTCCACTTTCTCCCTCCTTATGGGCACCTGTCATAGATGAGCACCGCTTGTATATTCATACACATCCATATGAAACCAGCTTGTGTAATGAAAGGGCAGGTGACCGGTCACAGGTGTAGCTGTTAAAGAGAGAGGGATGTGTCGACATGCAAGAACTAGATATCCACAACTCCATACATCCTGCTGTTTTACACCTCACTGTGTGGTAGATTAGTTTCAGGCAGCACACGTCATGTCACATTATTAGTGCATTTATTCGACATATCATGCATTTTGTTTTCTTAAATAGGTTAGTGAACATTTTCCACACTATTCACCACCAGTGTCAGGATTCCTGCCTGGTCACGACAATATTTCCGTGCCTCGTCATCATGATCATCAGGATCCTTAACCCATTCATTGAAATCTTCTCTGATTGTAGTGTGAGCATCACTCACAGCTTGAGAAGTAGCATCAGTCATAGCTTTATATTTTCCTCATCCGTTTCTTTTCTTTTCTTTTCTTGTTAGATCCTCTTGTAATAATAACTTTATTTGGATAGCAACAGTATTAAACTTTACTGTAAAAAAAGCCTTTATAAGTACCAAGTACTTCAAATGAAAACCAGTAAAAATAAGTCCATTTATAAATATTTTTATGACAGACACTTGTCAGCAGTTGACATGTAGGATGGTTTATAAAGTTTTTTTCTGAATGGCTATTTGTGGTTCTTCAGTGCTGTTATCATGAGTGTGAAGATGTTTCTTGGCTTCCTGTCCACCTGCCATTTAGAAGCCATCATTGCTTATATTACATTAGTTGTTGGCCACCTTGAGATTTATGCATCTTAAATTGGTTCACTGAGCAGGTATACAATCAATAACTTAACCAGTTCTTGTGCTATACTACTCATAGGAAATAATCATGCAGTTATTTAATTTCTAAGTCTTTGTATATACATTTTTTTACTAGACTCTTCTGAAAGAGAAATAAATGACATTGTTTTTGAATAGTTAAAGGTCACGGGTCAAATGATCACTGAATTTAGCCTCATTTACAAAGTATTTCTCTAAGAGAGAAGAGACAGATCACCACATAATCTGTGTACTAATCTGTTTTAGTGTGCTGATAAACAACCTCTAATTTTCATTTACTGTGTGTCATGAGATCGATGTTTGAATCGGACAGTTCCTCACTCTCAAATTAACTTCTGTCCTGAAGCAGAAGCTAGAGGTCGACCTCACAACGCTTTTGAGGCATTTAGAAATACAACAATACTGTGCTAGCTTGAAGGCGTAGTTCACCCAAAAATGAAAATTCTGTCATCATTTATTTGTCCTTATGTCATTCCAAACCTCTATGACTGACTTTTTTTCTGTGGAATATAAAATATGTACTTCTTTATTTATCTTCATTTGTGTTCTGCAGACAGAATCTTAATTTTTGGATGAACTGTTCTTTAAAAATAATATTGCAGAATTGTTTACAAATTTAGATGTTTTGTCTTTATAACTCAACCTTAATTTTGTGAAAATGCATGTTTGGTGAAGGTTGGTAATACTAGAAAAAGTTATTTAAAGAAAAAAACTTTTTAATGCAAAAGAGCTGAGATTGATTTCTAAAAGATTTACTGTCACTCTGTAAAATGTGTTTGTTCGTTTTAGAGAGGAGAAACCCATACAAGCAAAAATGGTGAACCTGGTCGGAAACAAGAAACCACCTCAGCAGAACGACATCAGGTAAACGTCTCAGTCAAGTTTATATGCAGTAAGTTAATAATGGAGTTTGCTGTAAATAAATGATAGACCTTATAGTGCAGTGGTTTTCAACCCTTTTGCCTCCAAGGCCCCCCTCTGTCCAACACAATATTCAAAGGTCCTCCTATCTAAGCTGTACTTCAAGTACTTCTGTTGTAATAAAATAAACTCAAAAATATCTTTATTTTAAGAGTGATATATGTAAATAAGATTTTTTAAGTAAATTGAATTACTTCTAACATTTCCCCCCTGGAACTTTGCCTGGACCCTGATTGAGAACCACTGGTCTAATGGCTGTTGCCATGTTATATTAGTCATTCTGTGTTCTGACTATTATGACTGCAATTTCTATAAATGTCAGACAATGAGGCCTTGACAACACTGCCTCAAAATGTAGGAGTCATACATGAGAGTGAATGAAAGGTCAAGATTTACCTCAAGGAGGTGCCCTATGCTGGTATTTTTTGCAGCTGTTGGGTTTGTAAAGAATGAAATTGGTGAAGAATCTAAAAATGAGACTAACATATTGTGCATGCTGTTGTGACATTCTTTAATGTTTTAAATGACTGCTTTATTTATTTCCGATTTTCTTTTTTTGCTGCCCATTGGGGTGAATGATGCAGGTTAACTCTGAACCGCATTGACATAATGCTAGCTGGCATTATGCAAGAGAGCTAACTTTCAGTAATACAAACTTGAATATTTTATTTTATGGCGTTTTCATTTTCTGTGTGTTGCAAATTCTGCTGATTTAAATATACCACCAAGGTAACATTATCTCTATAAAAGTGTACTTTTTAATTTATAAGTTAAATTGTAGTAGCATAATTTTCAGATAATACTGGAAACCTAATAAATTATTTGTTGCCTTTTTTTTGTAAAAGAAAAGCAAAATAAACTATACTGTTGCATAATTATCAGATAATGCTCAAAACCTTATAAATTATTATTATTATTATTTTTTTTTTGTAAAGGAAACCCAAGGTGTGAAATATTAAAAAAAATATGTATATAAAATATATTTGCTTCCAAAAACATAAAAACAATATTGCTGATGAAATAAAATGGATCATATTTCCAAATATGTAATTATATATCAGTCTTCAGTACCTGAATAGATAGATAGTTAGCATCTCTCTGAGGCAAAACTTTACTTTTCTCCGTTTAATAAAAAAATGCTTACTATGCATCAGATAATGAGCGCTCTGAAACAAATGTTGTTTTAGTTTTATAATTAAATGTATGAATTAGAGTTAAATGCTGCTCTGAGAGGTGTGTGTGTGTATGTGTGAAGCCTGTGTTTCTTCATAACAAGTAGAGTGGGGAGTCCATCTGTTCCTCCAGTTGGTTAACTGTGCTAGGACACACACACACACACACACACACACACACACACACACACACACACACACACACTCGTTCATCTTCAGTTACACAGCACTCCCGTGGAGGAATGTGCATTTCAGGCTGTTCTGTAGGCACTGTTCTCTCTCTTTTTTCCTCAGCAGAGTGTCACTTTCCTCAAGCATCATCAGTATTACTCCTGAGCTGGCCAAAAAGCTGTGGCTCTGTGTTCCTTTTGCACCAATTATTTTTTTAACCGCCCAGAGAGCAGACGGGTATGCGTGTGTATGTGTGTGTGCGTTTATGCATCCATGCATTTGTGTAAAAACAGCACAAGCAGAGAATGCATGGCTGATTTGAAAGTAATGTCAGTTACGTTTTCAGCCGACTGCAAGTGTGAGGCGATCAGATCCATGGCCATTTTTTGCCCTGGGTCGTGTGGATTCCTGAGGGTTTTACGAGGACCGTGATGCCTTGGATGAAGAGAGTGGGTTGCCTATTTATAGATGTGCTTTGTTTTAATGACATGGCTGCCATATGTGCGGATGGGCATATGGATGTTTTCCCCTCTTTTTCTCTCTTTGCTTATTTTCACCAGCCCACATGGGACTGCTCCATCTGAGAGTGGATTCTGTCAGAGATTTTCAGTCTGCTATTGAAGAGTGTCCGTTTTAGGTTTCACACATCATTCATGCGCTACTGCCCAGTCAGTCACTTTCACGCAGGGTTACTGCATATTATACAAGAGTTGCTTCTGGTCCTGTCATTTGATTGGTGGAGGAATGTGCATTTCAGGCTGTTCTGTAGGCACTGTTCTCTCTCTTTTTTCCTCAGCAGAGTGTCACTTTCCTCAAGCATCATCAGTATTACTCCTGAGCTGGCCAAAAAGCTGTGGCTCTGTGTTCCTTTTGCACCAATTATTTTTTTAACCGCCCAGAGAGCAGACGGGTATGCGTGTGTATGTGTGTGCGCGTTTATGCATCCATGCATTTGTGTAAAAACAGCACAAGCAGAGAATGCATGGCTGATTTGAAAGTAATGTCAGTTACGTTTTCAGCCGACTGCAAGTGTGAGGCGATCAGATCCATGGCCATTTTTTGCCCTGGGTCGTGTGGATTCCTGAGGGTTTTATGAAGACCGTGATGCCTTGGATGAAGAGAGTGGGTTGCCTATTTATAGATGTGCTTTGTTTTAATGACATGGCTGCCATATGTGCGGATGGGCATATGGATGTTTTCCCTCTTTTTCTCTCTTTGCTTATTTTCACCAGCCCACATGGGACTGCTCCATCTGAGAGTGGATTCTGTCAGAGATTTACAGTCTGTCTGAGCGGCTTTGCTATTGAAGAGTGTCCGTTTTAGGTTTCACACATCATTCATGCGCTACTGCCCAGTCAGTCACTTTCACGCAGGGTTACTGCATATTATACAAGAGTTGCTTCTGGTCCTGTCATTTGATTGGCTGGGAATGCTGATATTTAGACAGTACTGAGATGTTTCACTGTTTGTGATGCTTTACATCTTTCAGAAACCAGAATTACTTTTTACACCTTTATGCCCAAATTGATTTTTTTCGGATTGGTCTATCCTCTAAATGTATAAAATAGGACTTGGAAAGGAATTGTCATTGTTATTATGCAAGAGATAAAACCTTTAGTAAGACATAGAGTACATTATATGATCCAAAGGAAAAAATAGGGTTATAGGGTTGGAGGAGTGAATGAGAGGTGAACAGAAAGATGTGCTGTTGGATATTAGCAATTTGCATCCATGCTTAAGTAGACAAGTTTTTTACTGATCCATCACGATCAATAAATAGTGGCAAGAAGACAATAAATTAAAAAAGTAATTAACTGTACTGTACTGTATTAAATGTAAGTTGCTGTGTATAGAAATAAATAAATTTAAATGTACACAAACGTTCAAAAGTTTCGGGTAATTATGATTTTTATATTTTTATTTATCAAGGATGCATTAAATTAATCAAAAGTGACAGTAAACACATTTTTAATGTTACAAAAGATTTCCATTTCAAATAAATGCTCTTTTTTATCTTCTATTCATCAAGGAATCCTACAAATAATTGTATCAGTTTCCACAAAAATATTAAAGCACAGTTTCCACAATAAGAAATGTTTCTTGAACACCAAATCAGCATATTAGAATGATTTCTGAGAATTGTGTAACACTGAAGATGGAGTAATAACTGCTGATAATTCAGATTTGCCTTTACAGGAATTAATTGCATTTTACATCATATTAAATATAATATATATATATGAATACATCATAAAATATTTTCAATTGTAATATTTCACAATGTGGTTCTTTCCTTTAATTCAGGTTTAGGGTTTCTTTAGAGTTTTTTGCCCTTTGTATTCACCGTAAAGCAAACATCTTAAATCAGATTACTCAGAAATGACCAATAGTACACTTCTCCTCAGAAGTTGCACAATTTAATGTCTGTAGCACAAATGTCCAAGATATACACAGCACTTTAAGGTTTATTCAAATCCCTAACGCAATGCCTAAAATCATATATAATTTAATGGTTAGATATCAAGTAAAGGTTTGTATGTCTATATGAGTGCTCAAGGCCTTAACAGCCTGATCTGTACCTCTAACACACACAAGGGCCCAACTATTGCTCCACTTGAACTTTAGCTGCTTATTAGTGTGTCTTGAGGCATATTTGAGTGTCAGAGTGGAGCAGCAGTGACGTCCCTCCCATCTCTTCCTTCATGTGTCTCTCAGCAGAAAGGAGAAAATGTCATTAGCGAGGCCTGGAGGCTCCTCTTTCCTGCTCACAGACTCGCTCTCTCCGTAATGTCCTCTTCCTGCTCCACAGGGTTAAAGCTTGGACTCGTGGAACGGCTTGGGTGACAACCTGATGTTGTTCTTAAGGGCTGTAACCATGGTGTCATGTACCCAGGGAGTGCTCACAAGCTATGAAGACTTTATATAGGTGCACCCTAAGGTTTTCTGGTGTGTTTTCTGTCAGTCTCGAACACTCTTATGTTTTTTGGAGTCTGTATAAGGGAAATTGTAGCCTCAGGCTTACAACATATTTTGAAATCACCACCGAGCTTATTAACAAAGTCTATGTAGACATTTGGTTAAAAGGACTGATCAGGTATGAAGTCAGCAAAGCAATTAAGCAACTGCAACACCTGACAGAGCAGAAAAATGGTAGCATGGTAGCAAATGACACAATGCACCTTGATTGATGCATATAATATAGCACGAAAGAACAACAAAATAAAGATAAACATAGATAAATTGAGAAGATAAGTGCATCTTTTCAAAGTGCTGAATGGAGTTTACAGACCAGTGAATGCACAGTACACTAGATACATTTAGTGAAGTGAAGTGACATGTGGCCAAGTATGTTGACCCATACTTGGAATTAGTGCTCTGCATTTAACCCACCCAAAGTGCACACACACAGCAATGAACACACACACCCGGAGCAGTGGGAAGCCTTTTTTTTTTTTGCTGCAGTGCCCATGGAGCAGTTGGGGGTTCGGTGCCTTGCTCAAGGGCACCTCAGTCTTGGTATTGAACGTGGGAGAGAGCGCTGTACATTCACTCCCCCCACCTACAATCCCTGCCGGTACGAGACTCAAACCAGCAATCTTT